CTCAAACTCAAGCATCATCTGAATGCACTTACCCTTGGTCATGTAGGCAAGGACAGATGGGCGGCGGTGCCCCACCAGCGCCCAATGACTCCTCCAACGGTCGCTTGCTATGACTCATCCTCGTTGGCAAGAAAATGATTCCAGAAGGAACTAGAGCGAGAACAGGTGAAGTGATCGGAGGGAAGGCAGAATGATGGATGCCCACGAATCAAGTAAGCCGCACACATCCCCACTTTCTCCATACCATTTCAATTTGTGCACCCATGTTTCATGGCACACGACTGTTCATGATCGGGCGCCATTATGCCATGATGTGACTGGGGAGGCCGATTGTCCCCAGAGATCGTTGCCCGAGCGACCCACCGCGACCATGCCCCGCATTGTACTTAGGAAACCTACTCTTGGGCCGACCCTTAGAAGGGTTTGAGACCACAAAAGGGATAGGGCAGGGAGGAGATGGGCCCCTGTGGCTCTAATCGGTGGTGCAGAGCCACATGACCATCTCTCCTTGTGTTCGAGTCATCCACTTTGAAGTCTCCTAGGTTGACCCCTCTGGGGGGAGGCATCTTGCCCTTTGGCCACTACGGAGGTGGTTAGGGACCAATGGGATTGACGACTGACGATTTATGGGACGTCTCACGTGAGACACAGTCGAACTCCATGTCGATTGGTGAGGATATCGAGTCCCGCTTGAATTACCCATAGACCCCGATGAGGTGCACCGCTCCGACCGCGTGGTTATGGTGGACATGTTTCTCCCCACGTGGGGCGAAAACTAACCCGCCTATGACAAGGCAACGCGACCTCTTGAGGTCGGCAAGGACGCCAGGAAAGAAAAAATGGACTTGGGTCCCCGTGGCCTTGAAAGAAGTCAGGGCCTAGCCACGACTGATTCCTCCCTGCGTCCCAGGTCTCAGACCTGAGGCCTCCTTCAGATACACACAAACTGTTAGAGGTCCATGACCTCTCCGGGAGAGATCAATGAAGCAAAAGGCCAGGGCAACACACAATATGGAACCCCAAAACGTGATCATGGCTCGGTCATGCGAAAAAGACAAAAAGGTCCAAGACCTACAAGCCAATGCACGACTATAAGAAACCTCACGACCGTGCAGTAAGAAGTCGAGGAAATGATCCCCCATGACACCAAGCCAAAAATAGTCCCTCCAAGCGAGCCTGCGTCAAAGGGATGACCCTAAACCTGCAGCTCAAGGGCTTGTGGCAAAAGGCTGCTTAGAAGTATCGAAAAGGAAATTCCTTTGGCAGGTACAAAAGCACCCATGCTGCCAAAACATCAAAAAGGCATCACCTCGATGGTGATGTCGATTGACAACCCAGGGCCAAGCGCTGCTAGGGAACCAGGGGTCACAAACCCCCGCTGACTCCTCCGCTGGCACCGTGCCCCTGAGCAACAACGCGCAGGAGGGACGCAACAACTCCTTCGGCTTCGAAGGAGGGAGCGGACGGCAGTAGCGGTATGGCCATGTCACCATCCTACCCTATCTAACGAGGTGGAGTGACGGGGAAGCACTGCCTCATCCTCCACCTATTCCACTAGCAGTCTGGGTGGGCCGATGACTGGCGCATAGACCTCCGAGGGGAGCCGAAAGCAACTTCGGCCATCGCCCATTTTGAGCACACGAGATGCCCAGGCTTGGAGCAAGAAATGGCGATGAGATGGCACACCGATGTCTTGTATGACCTGACGTAGTGGCCATACTAACCCTTGCCCCTCGACTCGTGAGATCCCTTCCAGCATTGATTGTTGGGACGGACAGCCATGGCCACTGGTTGCCACTCATGATCCCCAGCGGGACGCATGTTTAGGAACCACGAGGTTCTCTTCAGAAACCTTTCTTCTCTCTTCCCTTTAAAAGCTAAGCTCCTCAAAGAGGTCAGATGAAACTCGACGCTAGGGGTGGTTTGAACTGGAAAGAAGCCCTAACTTATAGACCTAGAAGTGGGTTGAGCGGGCCGAGACCCCCTCACCACGTGGCGGACCAGGAAAGGTCACAGGCAGCGACGGATGCCCACGTAAGGGCGAGAAAGTTGAGACTTCCCTGAAGGCAAGATCGGAGCAGCATCAACAAGACCACTCTGAGGCCCCGTCTAGATCACGAACCCCAATGCACTGCTCTCTGATGTGACAAAGCCCAACAGTCACATGCCACATCGTCAGGACGTCCTGACAAAACAAAACCTAGCGACCCCCTACCACACCGGTCGCACCAGCCCACCAAGGGTCAAGCGGCAAAGCTCGAGCGGGCCATGAGAACGAGCCTGTGTCATAGCACCAGCGCTTTTGCAATCGCTTTGCGATCGCAAAAACGCTCGGTGGCTACTATCGGGGTTATAACCCCAGGGTGTCACAAGGCACCGATTAGTTAGCAGGCCATGTGGCCCGCAATACACTAGCTGGCGAAGGCCCGAACAACTGAGGCCCAGTCGAGCCAAGCAAGCTAGGCCAGATGCTAGGGCCAAGGTCGGCCCCGACCTCTTTGCCCAGCCTTAGCCACACGGTGCATGAAAAGCGCACAACCTCGCCCCTATCACGACCCCTAAAGGGATGGGAGAGGTCGAGCCCCACTGAGTACACCTACTCTGGCAAGGGCAGACACGCCTTGCTGACCCCATGAGGATCGAGGGAACAATAGTCACCTCGGTCCAGTCTGATGCCAGCCCTACGCCACAAAGGTCGGACAAGACAACACTGCCCTGAGGTGGTGACGACTGGTACAACAACCGCCGGCCAGATATGGCCCTACAAGACGCGTGTACGATCTCACCCACTATGTGATGGGATCCACGATGGGGGCCTTGACTTAATGGCCACCCGGGCCGATGAGAGCCATGACCCCAATGATCGAGATCGTGGCCCTCGGCTCCTCCATGATGACCCAGTGATCAACGACCTAAGGGCAGCTACCAACTCTTGTACCACGCCCCAGGAAACTAGGAGACAACGACGAGGACCACGACAAACAACGCATTGCATAAGACGGTTGATGAACCACCATCGAGGCTACAATGCTGCCACGATCGTCACAGCGGTGCCATGACACACCCTGTCGCAATGCGTCCTGAAGACCATGACAATAGCCACGACCGAACATGCACCAGAAGGCGGCATAGCTTGCAAGCCAAGTTAGATAGGACCTCCCTCAGGCTCTCGACCCTTCGATCAGGAGAACCTCCTGCTTTGTATGCGCCCGAGCCCCGAACTCTATATAAGGGCAGCTAGGGCACCCACTCAGGACATTCTGAATCCTCTACCATTTCATTCATTCACCATTGTAGTAGGGCTCTTAGAGCTTCTCTTTAGGCAGCCCTTCACCTAGCATAGGTCCTTCCATCTCTTCTATCATTCTTGCACCCCCATTGTAAGAACTTTAGAGCATTCAAGCAAGGAACACGCACTCGATCATCTCTAAGACTAGACGTAGGGCTCTAGCCTGAACCAGTATAAATCCTCATGTCTATCGGATGTTACCATCATCTTCCTAGAGCAGCACGGCAATCATATAAGTTTACTAGTCTGGTTTACAAAACATCTACATTCTTGTACATAGCATTTTTGTAGCCAAGCACTTGCAGAGAACACTCATGCCAAGTGAAGTAAATTCCAGGGTTGTAACGCTCAAAAACCACATAGCATGGAGCCATTTATCTACAATGTAAATATTTGTAAGAGCCTCAGTGGTGCTAAGTTAGATAAATTTGGCCATAATCTTAGTTTCACTCACATCAATGGCTATTAGTAGGCAAGCAAAGAAAGGTAGGGCCTCAGTCATATTTTGCAGATCAGAAATAGTGCATGAGGCGACATTGAAGATCTACGATTTTGGTAAACCAAATCGTAGATATCAAATGTTGACCAATGAACTGATTCTATAAGTGTACAAGTAAATAGTTGACATCATCGATAAAAAAAAATATGTATTGGCCTCAGCTTTTAATAATTTGCTGCTACATTCTCTAAGTAAATCATAGGTGCCTATACATTTATCAAATAATAGAAAAAACCAGCAAATCAATGAGAGCAGCAACCAAAGTCCAAAATAAGAGGTTGAACCAGAACATCATGAAGGCCATCAAAGCCATGTGAACGTCCATTCCCAGCCATCACTATAGTTACTTGACCATGTGTTGCTAGGGAATGGATGTCTCATACGGGTTCGATGATGACCATGAAAAACACCAAGATGACATCAAAAAATAGCGTACATGCACCTCATAAGTGTAAATGGTTTTGCATCATCGGCCATGATCCCATTCCTCTCATTGTAGCAACAAGAACATGAAGAAGCATAGCCAATAAAGTTGACACAGAATACAACAGATGAAACAAATGTAGGAAACAAAAGAATAAACGCATGTTAGTTTAGGCCACCACATGTAGGTGGCCTCAGCTTTGGTATTTGATGCAACAATCTAAACTCAGTCATTGGTGGCTGCATTTCCAAAATAAAACATAGATCAAGTAAGGTCCTTTAACAGATGTTCACCAACCAAATCATGAAGGTCATGAAAGCCATGTGCACGTCCATTCCCAACCATCACTACAGTGACAACCATGAGAAACAAGAAGACATGGAAAATCAAATTACACAGCCACCTCATTAGTTTTAATAAGCTTGCATCATTGGCCATACCCAATTCATCTCATTTACTGCAGCAGACAACAGAATGCACAAGATAGACAAGGAAACCATCCAACCAAAAGAGGTTGCATATTAATACAACAAGGTTGTGTCCAAATAGCAGTTCAGACCACAAGAAGTAGGCACAAATAGCAGTACCCAAGTCAGCCTTGGTCATCTATAGTTGGCCACCCTCCTACTAAGCAAACCCAAAAGGACAGGTGCTGGTTAGCCATCTACCTACACAGGAGCTACACCAAAATGGAACCCAAAAGAGAAGAGACTGGGTGAGGGAGGTGGAGGAACTATACATATCAACAATCAACCCCCTCTTTGCCTTGCTATCCTAGTTTGATAGAACTACATATAGTAGTTCTTGGCAAGGTAGTTTCTTAGCCAAATGTCCCTATGGCTAATTGCAATGTTCACAAAGCCTATGCCAAGGGCCTTGTTTTCTAGCAGGTAGGTGTAGGCAACAATGAGGGCTTCAGTGGTGAAGCCATGCATCTCCATGACTGCAAGATAGAGGTTAGGATCCACATGTGCAGGACCTGTCTCCCTAAGTGCATTAGCCACATTGTTGACAACATCTGTCATGTTGGTCATCATAAGCATCTCATCCTCACTGAAGTTGGGCCTCGTCCTCTTTCCCCCAACTATTGATGTGAGCAGCTCAATGGCCTTGCTACCCTCACCAACCTCAGTGGTGGTTTTCACATCAGCAGCATAGGTGAATCCATTACCCTCTATCTTAGCTGCCACACTGTCAACTTGGTTGACACCAAGAGGCTCACTAGACCCTATGGCATACCTACCAGTAGCCATAGCACTACCAAAGATGGTCTCCATCTCAGTGTAGAATCTGATAGGTGTGTTAAGGAACTTAGCATCTTAGGGTGGTCCTGCAGGCATTTTATTTGGATAAGCAAACAGGAACGATGAGAAACAGTGACTATAAGTGTTGATGATTCATTGTCTACCTTGCAGTGCCCAAGGTAGTGCTCTGGTTCTAGGATAATGGCATGGGTGTCCTAATCAAATAGTGCACCCCTAAGGTCCTTCAACTTACAAACCCTAGCCCACTTCTGCCTCCACTTCCTCAAGTGGTTGTACACTTGAGTAAGGCTCACAACCTCACCAGTATACTCCCTAAGAAGCTTTGCCACTGAGTTCACATCCTTATCCTTGAAGCACTTGTCAGCCCTACTCCCATTAGACACAATTTGGGCCGTCCTCCTAAGGACAAACCCATATGAGTTGTTATTCCACCTCATGGGGGGCCTTGCACCACCAGCACCCCCCTGGGCAGGCACTTCCATAGGTGCATCACCCTCTACATGAACCACATCAGGTGTAGCCCCTACAACAACAACAGCAGCAGCTACTACAGTAGTGATGCCCTAGCAGAGCTGCTATAGTAGCCCCAACTCTTGTTGGCCCTCCAGCAACCCCACCAAGCAAGTCAGCAGCAGATGCAAACCCAGCAGCACCAACAAACCCAGCAGACCCAGCAGCACCAAGTGAAGCCATCCTAAATAGGTTACCAGCCAAGCATGAAGTACACCATATGGAAACATACAACTTGAACAACAGATAAAAGAAAGGAAATTATTAACAAGCAGGTCTCAGACATGTCCATCAAATATTACATGAGCAGTACCCATACATGAGTTCCATACCAGGGTGTCCAAATCAAGTTATACATGAACTGAATGACAAACTAAATTCTAGAGGTCCCCTACCAGCACACATGGCATTACAAATGCCATCCCCCCTAAGGGCCATCCTAGTAGAATCCTAGGACAATATGTCTCCTAGAGGTTGGGTATCATGTGCCTCAGGAAGGGAACCTTCAAAGTTATCCTCTGCAAACACAACTTGGACTTTTCCAAAGCCAAGTATCCAATTGTGGAGAATGCAGCATGCCAAGAAAACCTTGACTTGAGTCTTGTAAGTATGGAAGGGTTTGTTGTCAAGCATCCTAAATCTATTCTTGAGTGCACCAAAGGCCCTTTCCACAGTCACTCTAAATGAAGAGTGCCTTAGGTTGAACAGCTCCTTTGCATTGGTGGGGTAATTGTGGCTCCCATATTCAAACAAATGGTACCTGACCCCTCTATAAGGCGGGAGGAAACCAGTGCGACATGCATACTCAGCATCTACAAGGTAGAATTTGTCTACAAGTGAACCAAACATTGACTGTAGTGAATGTGCTTGGTAGTATATGGACATATGTGAATGTGTATTTATTACACAATTTAGTTACCTTCTGGAACAGTGAACCCATCATCCCTCTCAATTGCATCAGCAAGTATCAGTGCATCATGAGCAAACCCCTCCCAGCCAGCAAGAACATAGGTGAACTTTAGATCAAAGTCCACAACAGCCATAACATTTTGTGTGGGATTGCTTTTCCTACCCCTGAAAGCCTGCTGTATGTGTCTAGACACCCTTGCCAACACATGTGTGCCATCAATGGCACCAATGCAGTCCTAAAAGTGGGATAACAACTGTTAAGTACCACTAGTTGTTTAAATTGGCACATTAACATGAATTATATTTACCTGCAGGAATGGGTACCATCTGTGGCTTCCCATTTTTTTTGGATGGATGGAGGTGCTAGGAGGCTTGATTATTTCTGCCAGCTCACCAACAGCAAACAAGACTTGGTGGAATATCCTACGAATAGCCTGAATGGATCTCCTAAAGGACTGGTGGATAACCCTAAATCTCTGGTTGTGTCCAACAACATGGAGGAACATTGCAACCTGTTCCTCCACTGAGCACTCCCTAGTCTCTTTTACAAGGGCCCTTTGTCTAAACAGGTTGCATAGATGGAAAAAAGGGGCTCTGGTCATACGGAGCATAGCTAGGCATTCAGCATCAGTGGAGTTGTAGATCATTTGGAGAGTATTTTGTCTATGCTTTTCAGCAACAGACCTAGGACCATAAACTATTGGCTCTTCTTTGGCCCTAAGCCTCCTAAGCCTAGTCATCGGAAAGGATAGCATGACCACAACCATGGCTGCAGCTTGTCTCGCCATCAAATGACGATGTTCATAGGGATCCATCTACAAAGCAATGAATATTGACATATATAACTTAGATGTAAACACCCTGGTTGGCCTCAACATGCATGAGTGAGCATTCAACAACAAAAAATAGCACGACTACATAGGGAAAAATGCCTCCAGTGCATGGATATTTTCATCATCGACCGTAACAGTATATCAAACGGAAAAAAAAACATGAGCAAAAGCATGGATCCGTGCAAATCAAGCAACTTTATCACAAACAGCAACATGATTGAGCTCAATGTACTCAAAATAGGCAATAATAGATCCAAAATAACCAAACCATGCATCATTTCCTTAGGCGCATCCAAACCCTAGGGACAAACAAAACCCTAACATCGCAAGAATGGGGAAATGGGGTCAATTTCACCTCGGAGTGGTCATCGGAGCTTTCGAGGTGCTCGAACGGAGAGGAAGAAGAGCAGCCGGTGGAGAGGTACCAGATCTAGAAGGAAAGGAGGCAGATCCGCAGCCACCAACACCAACCGCACCAACGGAGTCGAGGAAGACTAAGGAGGAACAACACCGCCTCCACGGAGCCCGGGAGGAGACGGAGCGGACATGCGGCGAACCAGACTCGACGGCGACGAACGAAGACAAGGCCCAGGGACGCAGGGCACCGCCGCGACAGCCACCAAACTCACCAAATCCTTCGGTCACTCAACGGGATTACGGTGGGGAAGGAAGGGAACGAGGTCGGGAAATGGAGGAGAGGAAGACGAAGCTGGGAGGAAGGGAGGCGCGCGGACATTTCCGCCTTCCCTCGTGAGCCCGGGCGAGCGCGCGCGAAGCAGCCACCGCCGTCGAAATTCGCCCAGGATGAAACGGAGAGAGCCGAGCCTTGGATAATCTCGTTTCCCGACGTGCATGAAAGAGAAGGAAATATGCACCGTGGCGGCCCGGCTCCCAGGGGGCCATGAGATATCAAACACGAGCAACTGCAGCCTGGGGGGGGGGGGGCGCGCTCAGGGCCGGCCTTTGGGCCAATATCAAACACGCCCAAAGAGATTAGTGGCCCGGAAGCCCGGAAATCTTCACCCAGCGGCCTGCTTTTGTTCTCCAGTCCAGTTGCCCCCAGTATACTCTCGCTCTCTCTCGGTTCTCGCGTCCCGTGCCCGGTGCCCCTCCCTCCCGTGCGCTCTGTCTCTCTCTGGTGGCCACGAGGCGACGATTGGGCGGTCGCCCCGCCGCCCTACGCTAGGTGCCCAAGTCTCCATCTTTGTGACCTTCACCGGCGACGAGCACCCACCAGGTTCGCCCACCCCTTCTCTTCCATTCCTGCTGTGCGAAACCCGAGCACCCAAGCTCTTTGTATTCGGATCTGACCTGATCCGTTTACAAGTGTAGTATACATGTATTATGCTTATGCGCACAATTCTTTTTTTTTTGTTGTTTTTGCAAAAAATATTGGGTGTAGATGTGTACACCCTTGCCCTTTAATGGGTCTGCCCCCTGTTTGTACTGAGTATCAGTTTGCTTAGGATTTGGTCGTAATCTTTAGGGGATTGCTTAGTGAAATCTACTAGCCTGACAGACCAAAGCATACCTTATAGTAGGAAATACTGGATGCCAAGGGCAATTGTTATCTGGTCTATAAAAAAATAAAACCTTTTATCACTATTACCACTATTTCTGACATAATGGTATTATCTCCATGAAGAAACGGTGGCAGGGACCATAGGAACATATTATTTTAACCCTTGAAGTTGACTTTTAATACTCTGTTTTTGGTGTGAGTGTCAGTAAACTTGAGCATTGCCATCAGTTACGGTTACGGTGTTATACTTGAGATACTTGGTGCGACTTAGAACAAAACATAATATTTTGCGTTACCTTGTACAAAACTTTTCTTTTCTTTGTCTGGATCTTCTGAGAGATGGAAGCAACTCACTCCCTCTACATGCGGCTCGGGTCCATATCTCGGGTATGTTTGGATGCTGACCTTATCCAAACCTTGCCTCAACTTGCCAGGCAAGGAAACGAAACATAGTTTAGTGTTTGGATCTCTGGCAAGCTTCCTCGTCTTTTGTGCTGGCAAGGTTTTTCCTTGCAATCCCATGCTAGCCAATTTGGCTCTCCCATCCTGGCAAGGGTAAGTCTAGTTTGGCCCCCCTGCTGGCAATGTGAGGCGTGGCTACCTGAGGAACCAAACTGACCTAAAGTTTTTTTCCCTTTCTATTTGTTTTGTTCATAACACTACCTTTGTTACCTAACTGGCAGTGCACTGTTGCATTGTTGCTCACTCTAGCGGGAAAAAACTTTACTAGCTCCTTTGATTTTTCTTTGTCATTTTATCTTGTCAAAGTGTGTTTTTTTGTTTGTCGTTATATGATTTCAAGAAGAGACAGCTACATTCCCCTACCATATTGAGCTTGCTACATTTTTCCAATATGCAATTCCTTTGTTCATTGCGTATCATGTGTGGTTGAAGAGACATGCAATTCCCCTACCCTATTGAGTGCTACACTTGGGTAATAGTGATATGCTATAGCTTTTCTTAATACCTGCGCACAAAGCTAAACATACAAAAAATTTACTAGCAGTCAAAGTTTATTAAGCATAGCATATTGTCTGGACTTTGGGGTATGCTTGGCAAGTTCTTTCCAAAAGGATAGCAGAAAACTAAACTACAAAAATTGTAAAACTGGTTGTTTCACAAATACATTTTTCCGTTACTTGAAATGTATTTCCATTTCTTGATAACTGCTATTACAAATAACTTTAACAATTTGTGCATTTCATTGTGATATGTGCGTTTGAAGATGCCTATTGTCCGACATGTTGGTCAAGTTGGTCCTACGTAAGGGTAGGGAATTTTGGGAGACTTTATTTACTTTATTTCTTGCTTATCAAAGTAGTTTCTAGTCTCTACCTTTCCTATAAATAGGACTATACGGATCCTATCAGCTTAACATTAAAAGTAACACTGGTTCAAACAGTATGTAAATAGAGTATCATATTTTACCGAGTCTTGCTAGCAAAATGTGTAAGCTCTTTAAGACTCTAATAGATATGCTTGCTGGAGTGCTGGCCATGATAGCCCAAGCATGCATCAAAATTTGTAGTCTAATGTATACATTATTTTCTCTTGCCATTTTGCAGTTGACTTGCACAGCCAGAGCTTTGGAAGATGGCAAGATCACCAAGAGGTAGGAACCTCCAAGCTCGTCAACGTAGGTCAGCTTCTTCAGATGTGCCCTTGTGCTCCTGGAAGACGGAAGGAACAAACAAAGGAAATGATATGTCAGTGACCTCTGAGAAGAATGAATGGAAAGGAGCCACTTGCCCAGTTTGCTTGGAGCATCCACATGATGCTGTCCTCCTCCTGTGTACCTCTCACCACAAGGGCTGCCGACCATATATGTGTGGTACCAACTACCGTCATTCTAACTGCCTTGAACACTTTAAAGAAGCTTACACAAAGGAAAAATGGCTCTTGGTGTTTCGCTGAGTCTGCACCTGGCCTTCCATTATCCTCGAGCACACTGCCATCAAGCAAGCAGCCATGTGTAATGGAACTTGCCTGCCCTCTCTGCCGTGGAGAGGTTAAAGGATGGACTGTGGTTGAACCTGCGCGTCAGTATCTGAACCGGAAAAGGAGAACTTGCATGCATGATGGGTGCTCATTCCATGGCTCAGTATAAGGAGCTTTGCAAGCATGTGAAGTTGAAGCACCCTTCAGCGAAACCTCGTGAAGTTGATCCTGCTACTGCAGATGAGTGGAAAAGGTTTGAATGTGAGAGAGAGCGGCAGGATGCCATCAGCACTATCAGGTCCATGAACCCAGGAGCTGTGATCATGGGGGATTATGTCCTTGAGTTGAATGGTGGTGGCAACAACCATTTGCCCTCGGATGGAGATAACTTTGACTTGGAGGAAAGGCTCAACTTCTTCACATCCTTAGATCGTACTTTGAATGAGCGAATTGACTTGTATGACTCGTCAGATAGTTTGGATGAGGGGTTTGACTTCTTGGCATCCCTGTTTACCCATGGCAGGAGAATCTCTACTGGAGGTCCATTTAGCAGGGCTTATAGAAGACATAGGGAGAGGCCTAGACGATCAACGAATTCTGTTGATGCTTCTGACATTCAGCATGAGTCAGTTAGCACTCAAAGGGGACAGCGTGCTGTTCGGGCTATAGGCAGAACTTCACGGCGGCACCATCCTATGGTGGCTCATATAAGGCCTACACGAGGCAGCTGAGAGATGAAATCACTTAGAGGGGAGGAGGGCTTTCATGCTATCCATCTGCAAGGGACGCAAAATAACACACCATGATAAGTTGTTGCTCTGGTGGTCGGAGGTCCATCAGATTCTTCCTTTTTTTTTGTCCCATTGCTGAGACAGCAACTGAGGATATAAGGTTGGATGGAGATGAGGTCTCTGTTTGGCAGATGCTGATGCCTGTATGACGTGCTCTGCGATGTGCATACAGTTTTGGGCTGAAGCAGCTCCACTTTTCCGTGCTGCCTTTGCATGGATTTTATGAATACCCGTGCCTCGAGCTTCTTTTCCTTTCTGTTGATCAAAGGAAACTGCAAACAGATGATTGTTTTGTCCGCAATTGCTATTTGAATGTCAGATGTCAGTATCATGAACAGCATACACATTACTGCTTATGTTCTGGTCTTGTAGTTTTGTATCCGTACACTGTGGCCTTTGGATGGCTTTGTTGAGTTGATATGTGAGGTCTTGACTTATTTGCCATGAGTGCATCTTCTCGTGGTTCTCTTTCACCGTGCTGCTAGGGTTATTCACCTGGTGGTACACGAAAATATCAATGCAGCTGTGTCTGTTTCAGCTGTTGCTTATGGAACTGGTTCCTGTAGTTCTATTTATCTGCTTAAAATGTGTCCCGTTTGTTTGGCCGTATAAATCAATCATATATTCATGTTGACACTGCATTTCGATTCTGCATGTCCAATTCCCATATAATTGGTTGTTAACGTTGTCTTCATGTTCAAATGGTGAATGACAGCCACTATACTAATTGATGAGAGGTGGTTCTCGAATCAATGTGGGATGATGTTCACTCACAGGAGGACCTGGTTCTCCTTGCAGATTCGGCCGCCTCCGCATGATTGAAGTGATGAGCACTGGGCTAGTGCGTTTTGCTTGTAGGTTCATTTATATTATAAGCTCTGAGATGATGTAAACCTGCATGGACAGGTCTGGTTCATTTGTTTGTAGAACCGTGTAGACAAGATGATCTGATTGGTTTCCTTTAGCGCCGGCCTATCTGTGATGATTATGTTGTTTGGCCTTATGCGTGTTAAAATCTAAACTTGCTAGGACGACAATCATCAGGGGCTGATTTAGAAACTTAAATTTGACAGATAACTCATTTTATGCAAGGGAACAGTTAATTGGAATGGCTTGGAAATTCTAAGCTCCACTGGCATGCCGCATGGGTATGGAACCTAAGTCTCCAATAACTCTAGAAACAAATGCCACCTTAAGAGTTTCTGTATACTAATCGATTCAAGTTCATGAAGCATGGGGGTAATGTGGGCTTAGGTTGTTGCTATTGTCCTCGGTTGTTTGTACAGCTCAAGCCTGCCATAGACAGGCTCAATTTATGTGTGAGCACACCAATTGGATTGCTGAAACAAAAAGTAGATGTCACAATACTAAGTCCTTGGGATTTATATGGTTAGATTGGAATGCTCTTAAACATGAGGCCCTTATTGGATGTGTCCTGTTAAAGCATCAAACCTCTAATCTAGTTTATTGCCTGATTTGTACTATATGTTAGGCAGATTAGATATACGTGATTATGTGAAGCAGAGTGAACGTCTTTCATTTCTTATCAAATAGAATATTCTTTTGAAACAGTTTGAACGGGTTCCTGGCGGTTATTGCTATTTGCTGCCTGGATGGTTGTCTGAAGATGCCTTCTAATTGTTTTGCTGTCATCTGAGAAGTTAATTCTCCCTGACATCTGTGAAGGAAAAAGTTTGAATGTGAAAGCGGCAGGATGCAACCGGCACTGTCACGGCCATGAACCCAGGAGCTGTATTCATGCCATCATGGTGGTGGCAAAAACTGATGGAGATAACTCTGACTTGGAGGAAAGACTTCAACTTTTTCACGTCCTCAGATCACAGACACAGAGTGTGATGATTGACTTGCACGAATCATCAGATGGTAGCTTTGGGTGACGACTTTGACTTCTTGTAGTCTCTACTGGAGATTCGATGATTCATTGAGCAGGGGACAGGGGTTATACAAGACGGAGAGGCCAAGCGAAGTGACATTTTTGTAGCACATATGAACCCAGCCAACCAAACCGAGTGACATTTCTGTCATCAATACTCTCTGTAACAGATGCTTCTAACGTTCTGCATTCCCGGTGCTGTCTTTGCACGGATATTGCACCCTTTCTGCCATTGCAGAAGACAGTGTATTAAGTTGGGATGAAACATGTTTACTCAGCTGATTCTTTTCCTTACAAATTCCATTCCACAGCACCGTACGTGTATCAGTTGTGTCGATGAAGTGACAGTTACCAAAAAGCACATACTGGAGGAGTACACGTAGTAAAAAAGACAAGTGGTTCGCGTCATTCTTGCAGGGTCTATGCACTCGTCAAAACAAACAACCTGGACAATTTCTCACATGCTCACTATCGACATCTGACATAGTACGAGCTATCAAATGAACCTACAAAGAAAAGCAGTTGGTTTGTTCTCCATCAGAATATCTTCTATCTGCACTCAATTTGTACATTCCTCCAGTGAAAACTCTGCACCTGGGTCACAGGTGGGAGGGATTCAGGAGATGCCGACGGTCTTGCCGAGCAGCCACATGACGAGCGAGAACTCGATCATGAAGAGCGCGTGCAGCCACGCCCGGTCCACCACGAAGCCGTACACTGTGATCCCCGCCCGGTTGTTCTCCAGGTACGTCACTGCATTTCAATTCATATCGGCCGGCGCCCGGCGGCCGTCAGCAACAAGGAGGAGCAGCAGCAGCAAATGCAGTCTGTGGTAGCTACTTACCCAGCGCCTGCCTCTTCTGGAAGCTGATGTTGTTGGCCTGGAACGGCACGTACTTTGGGTCGTCGAGCGAGGAGCACTCGCTCCGGCTGTCGTCGTCGTCATCGCTGGCGGACTCGTCGCCGGCGGCCACGCGGTAGGCGTTGGCGGGCGCCAGGTAGCCCGCGGTGGGCGGCAGGTCCGGGTCCGGGTTCTCCTGGTCGTTGTCGAAGGCGTGCACCGTGGCGTCCGCGTGCCACGCCGCCGCCACGCTCGTCATCGCCTGCGTCTTGTGCGTGATCTTCGCCGCGCTGTACAGGCACATCAGCAGCCCCGCCACTAGGCTGATCGAGCACAGCTGCACGCACAACGCACGGAATGCCAAAGTAAGTTTACACTTCTGTCTGATTTTTTTTATTACCACTATAAACATTATATCCTGTTTGCCATAAACTGAATTCATCTGGGACTGAAAAGATGATCGGTTTTCCTCAAAGAAAAGTTCATGTCACTATATATATAGAAGAGAATCTGTAAATCGTCGTCCCTCTGTCGGCATTGTGCAGAGCAGATCTACCTGCATAACCTTCCCGACACACGGCAGCTGTGTACTTTCGCTGTGCGATAGGACGTTTAGACACACACATGGAGTATTAAATATAGACCAATTTCGAAACTAAATACACAGATTAAAATTCATTTGTGAGACGATTTTTAAGCCTAATTAGCCCATGATTTGACAATGTGGTGCTACAGTGAGCGCGTGCTAACGATGGATTGATTAGGCTTAATAAATTCGTCTCGCGGATTACTGATGGTATAATTTGTTTTTTTTATTAATATCCGAACACCTCATGCGACACCCCATGTGACATCCAATGAGAGGCCTCTTAAACTATAGTCCGGCCTTGTTTAGATTGTAAGTTTTTTCACACTCTCCATCACATCAAATCTTTGGACACATGCATGGAGTATTAAATGTAGATAAAAAAATAACCAATTACACAGTTTAATTGTAATTTACGAGACGAATCTTTTGAGCCTAGTTAGACCATGATTGGACAATAATTGTCAAATACAAACGAAAGTGCTACAGTGCCAAATACTAATTCCTAATCCCAATCTAAACAAGGCCTCCCTGCATTTAAACACCACATCTTAAACTATAAGTCAAACAAGTCCAAACGAATACGGTGAATACCGATTGCTCAAGGAAAACGAATACGGTGAATACCGATTGCTCAAGGAAATATAGCTGTCCCTGTCCGCTGTGGACCATCAGCTGCCTGTTCCGGAGGCCGTATCGTATCGTGGATTATTTACTGCTGTCTTGTTTGGTGTGAGAGAAAAATACTGTTCCCGGCTGGAAATTTACGATCGTTTACGAGCAAGCGAACAGACTGTGTGTGGTTGCTCACTTGCACTTGCCAGTCGTGGCTGATCACTGACGAGTGGAAGGTGTTGATGGTTCTTTCATAGTGGTCTGGACATCTGTGTACCCTTTTGGTTTTGGCCTTTTGGGCGTGCAAGCTTTTCCTCCAACTTTCCATTTACAGCTGTCCTGGCATCACCTGATTTGGCATTTCTCGTAGTACCGAACTAGGAGTACTACCTAGATCTTGATTTCAAAATTGGCCATGTCACAAGTGCACCCGTACTACGACTGATATGCATGATCCATATTCCATTTACGATATGCATATGCCTTATTTTTAACTAACAACAGGTTACTCTGCTCCCTGTTCCACTACCACTGTTGTATTCAGAAAATGTCACATCTTTGATCCATACGACTTCAATCCAACTAAGGACACATGTTCATGTTGCTCGCTTTATTAGTTCGTAGTTCTCCATCCAAGGGTTTGTTTACGATTTTGGATAAGTAGTAAGAATTAGATGCGGTATAGTCCAATTTGGATTTCCACTGCACAAAGCCTAATTTTTCTCACTATGAGTGTACTAGAATTCTTATACTTCAGGAGAAAGTGCAATACTATAACTAAACCTGAAGAAACAGCAATATATATATATAATTAACAATTACTCACCGCGAGCTCGCCGGCGGTGGCGAGATTGACGACGGCGTGCGGTCTGGTGGTGGCGAGCAGCGCGGCGAACTGGCTGGCGGAGACGAGCACGAGGCTGCAGACGATGAACTTGCGGTACAGGTGGCTGATCTTCCTGAGCTGCTCCCTGATCCGGCGGTGGTGCTGCAGCACGGTGGCG